AACGGAATTATAGTCCTACAGAAGGATGCTGAGAATGCTACGGACCGAACATGAGAGCAACGAGGACGTTTTAGAGAAAATGGAACCAAAATAGACACTTATACTTAACATTAGGAAGAAACAGTTGAAATTTGTAGGGCACATAATGAGGAAAGAGGACTTGGAAAATCTGATACTCAAAGGACAGTTTGAAGGCAAGAGGGACAGAGGAAAACAATGCATAACGTACTTGATGAGATTGAATAAATGAATAGGGGAACAGGGTTTAGGAGAGGAAACAAAAAGACAAAAATCATTAAAAGCTACAAAGGAGTGGAAATTATGGAGAGCCATGATCGCCAATGTCCTGAACGAACATGGCAAAAAGAAGAAGCAGAAGAAGAAGTAGATATACTAGCGAAAATAGCATTCAAGGAGAAATCAAAGATATGATTTGGTTACAGTGTCATTGTATGTTCATTGAACTGAAAAAAAGCGATTTCAGCCATATTGAATTGGGAATTGCATTTCATACAAAATTAGAAAGTTCAGTTCATAACGTAATTTGGACTACAGTTAGAATTGATCACTTGAATGAATTAACAAAATTACTCATTTTTAGAAATAAACTTGACTGACCGAAAAAAAATGAATTAAAAAAAGCATCAATTCTCATAAAAAAATAATCGTGTGACGATAATTGTGTCACTATTTGGATTTAAAAATATTCAAATGTCATCAGTCGTCGCTATAGCCTGTGTGAAATTCAATGTGTTGAGTTCTATTCATCCAAATATTCGGTCAGATCGATTATGTTAGCGTTTCGATCGATTACGTTTATGTAACAGTAAGAGATAGATCAAGTATCAACAAAGATTATTGTTTAAGGTTGACGGACACGCATGCCTTAATTAGTTTTTTTTTTACGAATTGGTTAAACCCAAACTCAAACAAAAACATTGTTTTCAATCATTATGAGTCTACCGATTGAATAGAATTTTATTATAAACAATTGTCTTGTAAATGGAATTTTTAAAGCATTCTGAATGTAAAAATAAAGAAAAAAGTGTGCAAGAAAATAAGAAACACTATCTGCTAAAATAAGTGAAGTGTTGTTGAAATCGGTTGAAAAATGTAGGAATTCCGATCCCATATACAAACGAACACACACACACACACAAACAACCTGGTTTTTTATAATAAGTATAACTCGATATGAGTTGTCCCCCCTTTCATTCTGGCGACATTGATGCTTCTTAATCGTGTTTTCAAATTGATTTTGTGCAAAAACAATTGTGTTTTTCAATTTTTGGTGCTGTCAGAACCACCGCAAGGCAATTTTACGTAGTTCTATGAAGTTTTGTTGAAATCGGTTGAAAAATGTAGGAAATCCGATCCAATATATAAACGAACACACACACACACACACACACACACACACACACACACACACACACACACACAACCTAGGTTTTATAATAAGTATGATTCAAGGGACTTTATGAATCAATTAATGTTTCTTACGTTTTAAACACTGAAGTGATGCAAATAAACAATCTTTAATAACAATCTAAACATTATTATAAAATCAACAACTAAAATAACACGTCTTGTCGTTTCTTCTTCTTCTTCTTCTTCTTCTTCTTCTTCACGACGTGGACGATCATGTTTCTCCACTACTTCTTGTCCTTTGCAGCTTTTACAATGTTTGTCTTTTTGCTATCTCTCCCACACGCTGTTCTGCCAATCATTTACACAAGCTCGTTAGGCATGGTATTCTTTTGCCTTTTTCAATATGTCCTGTCAGTGTTAAATTTTCCAAGAACCCTTTCATAATGTGCCATAGAAATGTCAATTGTGTCTTTCTTATTCTTAGGAGAAGAGTCCTTTTTGTTTCTATTTTATTTAAAACTCCATTGTTACTCACATGTACCACGAATACACGCAACACGGCTACACGTAACATGCGCGTCCGACGGCCG